ACTGTCATCCTCTGCTGGTGGGAAAACCCCCAGCCCACCTAGGAAGGTCAGCACTCAAGCTGTTTTCAGATGCAAAAGAGGGACTGCCCTCCTGGGTACACACCAGCCCCAGGAACGTGGCCCCCAAAAGGGACGGAGGAGAGAAGGGGGCAGCAGAGGAAGGGAGCAGGCCAGGGACTGCAGGTTGCTGTCCCCGGGCTCTGTGGTGGCCTCTCACATGCACATGGGGCTCAGCACTGTGGGGTGAACACACCCGTCTGGCTCAGCTGCCTTTCGCACCTGTGTCCCCTCACTTCTGGGGCTGCAGCACCCAGCCCTGCCCCTGGGGATCCTGAGAATACCCCCACTCTTGTCAAAAGCTCACCCGAGTCCACACAGACAATATATCTGGGCTCCATGTTGTTCTATCCCTGTGTGCTGTTTTCCACTTTTTCCAAAAATAATTTACAAAAAGAAAAAAGGAAATGTCCATCTAGACACAAGAGGCACCTGTCACTTCTGAAGAACGCTCACCTGTCACTTGGGCCCCTACAGGCTCCAGCTGCTCCTTCTTGTTCCTGCCGAATAGAATGTCCATGGGGCTGGCGGGTGAGACCGACCCCAGCAGGGACGGACCACTCTCCTTCACGTGTCCCTGTCCTTTCTGCCCTCTGGCTGCTGGCTGGCCTTATTTATACACTGCTTGGTCAAAGGTCAATTTCCGAAGCATGTGTCCCGGCTGATCTGCAATCCTCTTAGTGTGTCCTCCACTCTCCTGACCGCTTTCACTTTTGGCTTAGCCTGGCCAAGCAAAGCTCATTTCCCAGCAGCAGAGAGAACCGGATGCTTTGAGCTTAGCTAGCCCAAGTCCGCGGGTCACACTGAGGCCTGCTGCCTGGGGAGCGGGGCCCTCCACAGAGATGCTGAAGGTTCCTCGGTTTTGATTCTCCCTCCTGCAAATCACTCATAAAGAGCAATTGAGTGCATTATCTTCTTTTCGGAAAGACAACAAAAGAGTGTTAGAGCCCATTCAAAAAACAAAGACAGGCGTTCGGTCTCTTTTTGCTGGTTTTTTTGGTTACTGGGGAGGAGGTAGGGTGGAGCCAGGGCCTCAGCACTGGGCTACTTTCCAGCCCCTTTATTTTACTTTATTTTATTTGATGTTGTGAGTACATCTGAACAGTTCGCCCACTGCCGAGGGCTGTGAAGCTGGAGACCCTCCTGCCTCAGCTTTCTGGAGCTCACGAACTGCAGGCAGCACCGCAGACTGGGCGAGGCCTGGTGGGGTTGGGGGCGCCCAAAAGTTTGAGAAGGATATTTTGGGGGGGAGGCTGGCTCAGGATGCCTTAAGAGCAGTCTGGTAAGGCATGGGGAGCTGGGGATTGAACCGAGGTCCCCTGCGCCTGACTGGGTTTGCCCCAGCAGGCGCTTAAACAACTGAGCTAACCCGCAAGCCCCCTAAAAAATAAAGACAGGGATCCAGACTTTTCTCCAGAATGGAAGAATTGTAAAAAGCAACTTCCGTTCAACTTCCTGGTCTAGCAAGAGGGTGAAATGATGACTGTGCATACCAGACAGCTCAGGGGTGCCCCAATATTCATGTGTCTTGATGTCACCCTAAATCTACTTTGCTATGAGCATTGGGTAAAGAGCTGAGGAATGCCACTTAGCAAGGCAGGGGCAGGCGGGTTCTAACTCCCAGCTCAGCCTGGGCAATGTAGCTCCCCAGAGAGTGCTGGTCTCCCCAGAGAGAATGAAACAGAATAGTTTTTAAGAAGGCAAGAGAAGGAGAGGGCTGGGGATGTAGCTCAGTGGGAAGGCTTGGGCTTCAATCTCCAGTACTAAAGGGGAGGAAAAAACCATAAGAAGAATCAGTCATTCCATCTGTGGTTAGACTAAGAATAGGCTACCACTATTTGCTGCATTAAACATTGTACATGTATGCGTTCTCGTAATGCGTACTACTTTTCTGTTTTACAAAACTAATTTGAAGAACAAAAAAAGGCAAAGCAAAGTCTGTGCTGCTGGCTCTGTGGAGGTGGGGGGCCCGCCAGGCCCAGCACTTCAGAACTTCTTCAGTCTCGACCCGTGGGGCCACTGCCCTGGCTGCCTCCCTGTCGCCTGTTGAGTTTCAGTGGCACTGTCTGCAGATGGCCTGACCTAGATCCTCTGGACCCACAGCCAGTCCTTGGCACCTTAGAGACAATGTCCAGGGCCTGCATGGCAGCAGGAGCTGGAGAGGCCTGGCCCTGGCCCAGGGGCTGGAGGCCGCGGAGTCCGGTGGGTGCTGGGTTTGAGTTCTGGCCTCTTCTTTCTGTGAATCTGGGCCACAATGCCTCATCTGAGCCTCTTTTTCCTTAACTGGAAAAGGGATAAAAATCACAGCAGACTCTGGAGGCAATGGTAAGCCACAGGTCCAGCCAAAGCACCTGGCCCGAACAGTCACTGAGCGGTGTCATTTCCCAGCCCCACATACCCAGGAAGTCAAATAATAACTGCCCTGTGTCCTCCCCGCTACCCCAAGCACATGTACCCAGGCAGGGCCGCTCACTCCCAGCTCTCAGAGTTGGAATGCATCTGGCACAAACCAAGGGCTCAGGAAGATGACAACGCACACACACAAGTGAGAACAGGACCGTGTCCCTTCTTGTCTCTCTCTGCAAGTTCAGAAAAGCGAAGGCCTCCGTCCTTCAAGCACTTTCTATGAGTCAGGTTCTCTGTGGAGCCCTGGCAGGTCCCTGCTTGCTCCAGCCTGATGCAACCCTCCACGTGGGTTTTCCTAGCACCATGGAGGAAAGGAGGGAGTCAGAGGACCTAACCAGCTCACCTGGGTCACACAGCAACTAAGAGATGGAATTAGGAAGAAAAGCTGGCAGCCCAGCGTCAGCAGGTGCAGCCCCAGTGCATGATGGGTGTTGGCTGGATTTGCACTGAGGAAGCAGTGGGCAGATCTGTTGCTGGGGTGGGTGCCAAGAAGGCTGGCACGGGCTGATGGTGCACTGTTCATACTGCTGGGGATGGGCTGTGTCATCCAGGTTCCGAGCTCCAGGGGCAATCGCACAGTGAGATAAAGGGCCACTTATGTTTTTCTTTTTAATTAAAAAAAT